GCGAGTCGGCAGAAAGGGGCGGGGCGGGGCGGGGCAGGGGGGGGAGGTGCGTGGTCGAATGGCGGAGCGGGGCGGGGGCGGGGCGGGGGCGGGGCGGGGGCGGGCGGGGGCGGGCGAGGCGGAGCGTGGCGGGGAGGGGAGCAACGGTGGTGATTGGGGGCGGGGTGGGGAGTGGACGGGGCGACGGTGGCGTGGTGGGTGGCGGACGAGGCGCGACTGCGGGTGACGGAGGCGGGGAGCAGGGGCGGGGCGGGGACGGGGCGAGGCGGCCGGCGAGCGGGGCGGGGCTGGGGCGGAGGTTGGAAGGGCGGTAGAGAGGGGGAGAGAGCGGGGGCGTGGTGTGGGGATGATCCGGGGGCGCGGACTGCTGCGGGGTGACGGAGGCGGGAGTCAGGGGCGGGGCGGGGGCAGGGCGAGGCAGAGCTTAGGTGGGGCGGCGGGGAGGGGGGTGGGAAGGCGTGGGGAGCGGGGGACTGGGGCGGGGTCGGGCAGCCGGAGACTACATTCCGCCCGCGGCCAGCCCCAAGGAACGGGACGGAAATGAGATGTTCGGCGCTGCATAGTTATGGGAGGCAGCTGTCAGATGAAACTGTAATTTCATCGAGTGTGCCGCAACCGACGCCGCAGCGGCGGTCCGCAGTTCTTGTCAAAGCCTAATTTCGTGCACTGTGCGGAGCAGTGCAAGTATATAGTTTGTTTTTGGACCACTGTGTGAGGAATATGTTCGCTCTTCTTATGTGTTTGACGTAGAAAAGTGAGGGGTGGTATTATTTAGTGGACCTGACTGTGTAACTGAAAGGGGCCGGGTCATCTCTCTCATATAGCAGACTGTGGGCATTTCTCATCGTTTTGTCATATATGCTTGTTTCCAAGTTTCCGCTGTTTTTCTCCAATTGTATCCAGTTTCGCCCTATCAGTGGTCTGCTTATTGGTTGGGTTTTATCCCTTATTTAGAGGTCAGTCGTAAGACTATCTCATTTCCTGGCATCATAGTTCATTCCATTCATTTTTAATTTAAGCTTTGCTGTGTCTCTTTATGTTTACACAATACTAATTTAATTCAGACACTTGCAATTAATATTTTGTTCTATGATTTCGAGAAAATTCAATATCGGATTGAATACCTCGAGAAAATTTTTTTAAGCCATGGAAAAGTGAGAGTGCAGCGGTACTTCAAGTTCTGTTCAACATATGGCAGCTAGAAAGAGTTGATTACACAACGAAAACGTATTACAACAAAAGCCATACCTGAATATGAATTAATTTAATGAGACCTTTTTACTGAAGCAGTTTAATTCGTGTTATTATTATTTGGTGTTATACAATATATTATAATAACGAATAATCATTGGCCTCTGTGCCAAAGAACGAAGATTGATTTTTTACCGTAGAAGCTATCAACGTATTTTGAAAGATATAAATAAGATCCATGTATTCATAGGTAAAAGGAATGAAGCCATACCAAAATACTGAAAGAAGTTTTTTGATATGTAGCGCTTAAGTCCAAAAATGTCTAATTCCGAAATTATCCGGTTGTTGTCAATTATTACAAAATTTATGGATAACATACGAAGTAGGAGAATTTAAAAGATGTCAGACTTTGCAACCAGATTGCAAGTGAGAATTAGTCTATTACGGACATAGTTATAGCATAGGGTAATACGTGACGGTGACAACGGAATAGGAGATAGTGATAAACAAGAACTCAGTCCCTGTCTGGGCAGGAATTTCCTAAGGCTATTGAGAGATTGAAGGTGTCATAAATTATTATGATCGAAGATGTGTCACCCCAAGTGTATATTCTAATATATAATTTAATATTAAGAATTAACAGTCATACAAGTGTACTGGGGAGTATTCTATCCATTTTCGTGAATCTATCTGTTGTATTTAACAAGTGAGACTTAACCCATCTTCTTTCCTGCGCAGCTGTATAACACTATGTATACGTGTTTTGTATAAAATTTGAAAACTGACAGTAAGCGGAAAAGTACTGATTGTTTTTAATTAGAAAAGGAAGATGCCAGACGAAGTTCAGATTATCTCTGCGTCGCCCAAGCGAAGTGCTTCTAAGGTATACAGCTAAAGCGCGCAGTCTGCATGCGTATCAAACTCCGCAACGAGTGCACTAATTGAGGCAGGAGACCGCACTCGTAATAAATGTCTTCGTGGCTTTCCGCTTTTTGCGCACATGAGTGAACGATAAATCTTGTCGCCCTCTCGCGCAGCAGCAGCTTGCCAGTCGTCGTCGGGGAAAGTTTCTCTGGAAAGCAGGCGAGGGCGAACGCCTTCAATTGATTTTGCGCCGCGGGAAATCTGCGATTCTACGCGCACTGCGACAGCGGAAAGGAAGGGAGAACGGCGAGCTTCGGGTCTCGAGATAATGGGGAGGGCCAACGGACGCGGGGAATCGCAGGCCGCCTGCCCTGGGCTAAGAGGACCGTGAGGGCATGTAATGTCAGATAACACCATAAAGAGCTTTCAGTATATCGGATGGCAATTGAGCGTTTTTCACAAACGTAATTATCTGGCGTTAATACTCTTTTTTTCGGTGATTCGTGGATATTTGCACGTCAAGCAGCTGACTGAGAGATGGCTTAGGTGAGAATTGTCGGATGCATGATTGTCTGATCGGTCTTTTGTCCGATCATTTCGCAGAAGGATGCTGGGTCAGTTCCAATTAAGCTGAACGATAATCCTATTTTTCCTTTCTGGAACTCACGACCTGAAACCTTCCATTCCCGCCGTGCGATCCCTTCCGCATGGTCACGACGTCGGTTCAGGTGAATTCCCTTGCCGCTGTTTGGCACGAACGACAACAGGGTTTATGAATGATGACTCTTCTGTACCTCAGCTTGCTTTTGGTCGATTGACAGGTGCACTTTCGTTGATTTCCTGTGTCTCGTCTGGTCCGTTGCGCAAGGCAGACTTCTCGTAACCTCAGCGGGGGTGGGAGCAAGTACTACACGTTCACTGAGTTCAGAGCGGCAATCGAGAACGTTGAGTACCCTCATTCTCCTGATGATGTCGCATTTTCGGGTAATAAGTATAAAGAATACAGCAGTGTCGTGAAATCCCTTATCACTTACCTTTTGGGTAGATATTATGTTGTCTGTCTGTGTCTTTTACAATCACACTTGCTCCGTGGCGGTTCTTGGGCAGGCCCAGGGTAGATCCGGCCGCCCGGGATTTTAAAGATGGACCATCAGGCTCGGTTCCGGGCCTTTGCCTCTGAACAGTTGTTCCTTAAGTCACTGAAACCTTGCAACATTTGTTTCTCGCCTCTAGGGCAATGGAATACAAGAATGACTGAGAGTATTTAATAACTACTAAATTGGCTTTTAGCCGATCTTCAAGCAGTATTTCTCAATATCATGGCGCACAACTTCGAATTAATGAAAAGAGGGGTGTATATTTTTTGTCGCTGAGTAGTCTTATTGAGTAAGTAATGATATTTGTTGATGTGAAAAAATAGTAATAGCAGTGGTGCACCTTAACCAATAAGATCAGGACAACAGTCTTGGTGCTTTAACAGAGAAGAATAAAAATAAGACACATCATCAGGAGAACTTAACCAAGACAACTGGGTTCAATTAGGTATTTCTAGACTTTGTTCTTTGAAAATGTTTTGGATTCTATTGTATCTTTCTGCGCTAAAAAAAGTTCAATGTTTGCTTTATTGAATAAAATTGGATGTTTTTTGGTAATTGCCGTCTTGAAATTAATTATTCTTGTATAACTTTCATTGTTGATTACTATTACAAGGTCCTTCGGTTCACATTCTTGTCATAACTTGTTTATCATAATACGACTTCTGTCTATTACGAGGGGCGTTAGTAACTTTTCGCATGGAGATCTGTGCACACATAAAATGTACTAAACTTACAATATATGATAAATACAAGCGTACATTTAAAGTTAGAAATGAACAATGAAAATATAAGAATTGAAAGATTAATGAAATTTGTAATTTAATGGTTATATTGTGAGAAGATAAACGACTAACAGGTCTTTTTTAAGAACGTGTATCATCAACATATTTGAGGTCTTATTGGGGACGAGACGGAGCACGAGTATTAATCTAGATAAAATTTTGTGATATGAGTTTGTGTTTATTGCGGTCTTAATTATATTCTGCTCTCATTCATGTAAATTAATATATTTACACAATGAACATATGTAAATTGTCTCGGACTGTTTGTTTATGGATTGGTATACCCAGTAAATCCAAATAAGGAGTCAATAGAAGATGATAGGTGTGTTGCCTTTAAGCTGCGCTTGGATTTACATTTCAAATTCAGTCTAGATATAGTAGGGTACAGGTCACAAGTTGTGATGGAAACTAATGAACTCTCTATGCGTGAATATAGTCGATATATAACTCAAAGTGGAGTAAATTTTGCAGTACATAAGTCGATAATTTGTATACAAAACCAAGAGCAGATTTGTGTACTTATTAATCTATATATTATCAATAAAAAATATCAAACAAAAAGTTAATTTTCACTATCTCTGCATCGGATTGATGGTACTTTGTAATGTACCAACTCTGTCTTGTATTTTTTATCTACTTGTATACCTTCTCCCTCATTGAATAATGATATATGTTGTCATGTTCATATGTTTTGGGAGGTTGTAGAATTTTAATACTAAGGCCCAATACACGTGTAAGCAGTTCTTGCTTAGCCTGCCACTGTTGCGAAGTAATTAGTGTTAATGCGAGTTTTACTAGAACTCTATGACCATATAGCAATATCTGAAGTAAAGTTATCGTATTGATTACAGGTTAAGCTAGGACGATTTTATGCGTTGAGTTTGTCAGAATTAGCAAAGAAGATTAACGGTCAGAGTTAGTCTGATAGAGAGACAAGTTGTGCATTGAGCCGTATTGTCACCTGGGAGATGTCCGTAGTCAGAAATTTCAATATACATGGAAATTTCTTGAGGATGCCTCTCCGGCCCTCTTCATTTCCTTTCTTTTTCGTCTGTGTTGGTTCCCTGACATAAAATCTACTGGAGTGGTCGATCGTGTGTTCTATAAAGTCAAGTTCACAGGACTTAATCGATAACATCAAAGGAGTCTCAATTTTTGCAGGGGATGTACAATTGATTTAAGATTCTGGTGTCATTATGTTGAAAGAGCCATTCATTGCTCCTTTGGGATGGCTTTGAGAATATATTTTCAATATTGGGTATCAGATTCTGCGAGTAAAGGCTGTTAGGCAGTGCAGGTTAGCAGATAGCGTTTCGCATCTAATCTCTACTAAGGCCTGGGAAGTTAAGGGGAGTTTTATTAGTTGGAGCTGGCTTTTTAAGGCCTAATTAGATCGGCGAGGAACTAACAGCCAGGATGCGCTAAGGATACTTGTGTGGGGACCTCTCGCATTGGAGCGCGTAGTTTCGTATCTCAACTGCGACTATATGTATAACGTTGTCTTATGCAGGATTGCGAGGCATTTTCCTAAGTGTAGGCCCTAGTATGACCTAATGTTTGCAATAACAAGATTAATGTAAAGACGTTCGGATTAAATTAGGTCGAGTGGTAGCAACGACATGTTTGTCATCGGATAGTTTATTTCTGCGCCCCGCCCCTGCTCCCGCCTCCGTCACCCGCAGTCGCGCCCGCCGCCACCCACCCCGCCCCCGTCCTCACAGCCACCCTCGAATGGCAGCCACGACGCGCCCCACGCCTGAGGACCGCCCCGCGCCCCGCTCCGCGTAAGAAGCCCGAAATTCAGCGGCGGATTATCCGCTAACTAGACGCGCGACGGGGTGGCGTTAGCGTATGCGGTTGCGAGTCTGTAACTGAAACTTCGCCAACCGGCTGGCCCTAAGATAAAGGCGGAATCCTCCACGGTGAAACATGCCGGCAAGAGCAGTCTCCTTCAAAGCGTTTATCTTTAGAAAAGGAAGCTAATTATGAAGTGCGCACATTTTACCAGCGCCGCGTTTGAATTAATATCCAGTGTCTCCTCCAGTAGGAGAGTTTCTGGATTACAGATATTCATTTTGCAGACTTTAAACAATTGAACCTCATTTTATCTTGTAAGAACCATTGAACCTCACTAGATCAAAATATTAAATACTGCTTCTCACCATGATGAACAGAATTTAAAAGTATTTCCAATTAATTATCTTTTCTGTGCTGTCCGACGATCAGTTTTCTTAAAAAAAAAAATGATACCCTGAGATATTGGGGCGAGCTTGTGTTGTAGTTGTCAGTCCACTCGATTTTCATCTCTGGGGACTGCAGTTCTCAACTTTTTTTCCGAGTTCACGTGTTTCCCATACCTCTCTTTAATCCGTAGCTTCATTATTCTCATTTAGTCCTAGGATTTTAGGACAAATGTCTATTTAAATCCTTTAAGAGGATATGAAAAGTAACTGCAGATGTTTACGAATTGTGAAAAAATAGATCTACTGAAAGCATCTAGCAGTTACTAAAATGTTATGAAGAACCGGTTGATTCCTATTTTAATATATTTTTCATAAAGCACGTAAATTTGAAGAATGATCTAATTTTAATTGCTCATTTTTTTTAAATTTGTTATACCGAAATGCAAATACCGTTCCGAATTTCCTGAAACTCGAATATTCCCTGATCGAATAAACAGCCGACTACGCACTGAAATCACATTCAACACTCCCAACATAAGGAGCTCTGCAAGTCAATATACAGTGGATGTTTCACGCTCCTCTCCGATCATCACGTAATTCTTAGGCAATTGCATTTATTCCCGGTGCAGGTGCGCTGTTGACATGTAGATGCATATCGCAAGAATTGTCTACACAATCCAGGCGAGGAATGTCACAGGTCAGGCAAAAGTCTACAGTGGAAAAGGCGACAAAGCAGGGTCCAAGTCTTGAACTTGTAGAAAAAAGGATCATTTCGAATTTTCTTCTCCCTGTATGTGTGGCTCTGTTCCTATGTTGTATCAACGGCATTGCATGGTGTGTAGATCAATAATGTTGTAAGGTATTTCAAGAACCTAATACGACATTTTTCATGCCCAGGTGGGCCCATTTCCAGAATTGTGTTACCAATTTTAGATGCCTCAATCATCACTTTTGATGATACATGCACTACCGCAAACGCCGCAAATACTAGAAAACTCACAATGCTGGCCTTCATACATAGAAAGGGGGCAGTCAAAGTGACTGATTCAACAAAAGATTTGCTATTTATGAATGTATTATTTACTCGAGTACAGCAGCAATAAAAATGCTGCTGAACAAAACTACATAAAACGTTTATCCAAAAAGTAGCACTCACAATGCTCAACCGAAAAAAAATTCGAATAACATCCATCCAATTAAACATTTTAGCAAACTCAGTCTTCACAAATTCTGCAATAACGTAGTACAGTGTACACACAGTACAACAGTTCTTTACTAAGAGAAATTCAAAGAAGCTACTGCCCCATGATGCAACACCTGAATAGCAAATATTTAATCGCGGGCGATCTTTTGGAGCCTTGTTGTTCCATGACATCAGCTGTGCCGGAAGCGGCGACCAGCTGAATATGACATGTCGGTGTGCGCAGTATACGAATAGGTGGAATAGAATATGTGCATTTTCACTTACAATCGGAACCGTTTCATTGTTTTTGTATTTTTACCGAGCTCCTGGATACCTAGAGAAACCATTAGGCACCTCTCCTATGAGCTGAGTCTGCAAAGTTTTCTTTTAATTTTTGCGTGCACTGGAAATTGTCGTAATACGGACTTGTCTAATCTAACAAAACTATTTACATTACACACAAAGTCAAAAACTGCTTAGTTTTCTATTTACACATGTTTTGAATTGTAATAGAATTATATACACAATTTTTTTTATTTGATGTACCTGAGTAGTAATGAATGAACAGGGTTTATAAAATATTCTGGGTTTATAACATGTTTTTACTAAATAAATAATATTTATTTTCTTGGTACAACAACAACTTTCGTGGTACAACCGCTTTTCCCGCAAACTATTTGTCTGCATTTCCAAATAGTGTTGTTTGACATATTGTTTTTCAATAGATTAAAATTTTCATCATTTATATCTTTTGTCATAATTAATGTGATTGCATAGCAATTACAAAACAATCATCAGAAAAATAAAAACATTTAACAATCAATATTCCAGTATTCAGCCATTGCCATGACCTTTTTATCTCTATATAACTATCACATCTTTAAATAAACCTATCATTATTTTAAAGAACACTATACGTAGCTAGTTTTGC